GTTAAGATGACTGCTGGGTTGAACCCCTGTAGTTCTTTTAAAGGTAGAAAGCAAATATTTTTTTTTTGCCTTTGTCTAAAATTCTGAACTATTTGTATAAATAAGTATTTTAAAACATTGTACTTCTCAAGATCCAGCTTCTACTTTGGGGAGGCATGTAACGACACTTTTGCAGAAGGAATTTGTTTTCTCTATTTGTGTTCTTTCTGCCAGTAATTGTTCTTCTGAAAGCACCAGGGCATGGAAGCTTGTAACTAGTAAATTCTTTAGCTTCAGATGTTCTGTAGATGACAGCCGTTTTAAAAATATAGAGACAACATAGTCAGGCAAAATAGCATTTAATCTAATGCAAAACGTCATTTGTGTTGGCAGAAATAGGAAAGGATACATTTCTGGTTTTCAATATTTTTAATAGATTTTAGTTCATTTCTGGTCACAGTTGAATATTGAAGTCATAGTCCAAGATTAGCTAATACATTTTCTGTCTTCTGCCTGTTTTAATGCATTAACATGCATATAGTCCTGTAAAGTCAGTTGAATTTATATTCTATTGGTTTTGAAAGACATCTTTAAAGTGTTCATGTAAATAAACACTGTAAGTATACCTGCTTATTTTGAACATCATAGAAATTCATATCTATGTAATATCTGCTATAAAATTTTTAATAAAATGTTATTCTTCTTATAAATAATCATTCTGAATAGCACTTTACAGCATAATAGACAGTACCACTCCATAGTTATACACAACAAAGTTATTCTGGATCCTAGGATGACATTAAACAATACAGTAGTAAATGACTCTTCAAGGAACGGATATGTTGGTTGTGGTAATGTTTATTTTTAGAAATACTACAAGGTATTAAGCTCGGCTCTGTGCTTTGGCTGATGTTGCCAACATGGTTTTCATTTCCCAAACTGGTCAGAAAAGCTTTCAAAATCTTCTCTTTCCCCCCTCCCCCCACCACCAAATACTTAAAAAATGAGCTTCTGGTGTGTTGACCTGGAAAGTGTAATCTCAGGTGACAGGATGTGTACCAAGCTCTCATCTGGTTCCTTTGATAACAGCTGAGGTATTTCAAGTTTTGACATTGAAAGTTTACAGCAGGATGATAAATGTAGGAAAAACAGAGTAATAAAAGTTTTGAGTTACATTCATTTGCATCCACCTTGCCTGTGAACACACACATTTGTGACTGTGTTGTCATATATGAGAACCTGCTTTTCAGAAATTTCCTTTGAAATTAACCAAAAAAATGCTCTTCCAACTAAAAACTGCTATATTTCTTTTCTGCAAACTGAATCAAAATTGCTGATAGAGCATTTGAAAGCAGTGTTTTATTCCTCTAACTTGATGTTCTAAATCAGTTTCTTATTTTGGTTGGTATAAATCTATGTGAATAAAAACCTATGGTAGCTTTTAAGGCAATGTCATTTTACAGTAGAAAAAAAATTGCAGCCCTTGAAAGCAAACACCGGTAATATTTGACAGACAGTTACAAAACCTGTTGGGTGCTGTTAGGGCTCTGATTCCAAAGGGTTAAATCTGTAGTAAAACCCAAGAAGAATGCAAAATGATCAAGAAATGACATGCTGCCTATTGTTTGTAGCTATAGGATCAAAATAACAATTATACATGCCAAATAAATTCTAAACCTGTAAAAGAGAAAAAGAGGGGGTGGCTGTAAGTACAGGTGCCAGAAGCATTAAATAACCCTCTCAGACAAGGTGCACCACTGTTGTCTTGAATGCTGCTAGGTCCCCCCAGTCTGGCATTTTTCCCCCTGCACTAGACAATGTGCATTCACTGCAGGAGACTAGGCTAAGCCTGCGTCTCCCAGACCTGCCGGCTCCTTCTGCCCAACCCGACACAGAGGTGCCTTTGTCAGTATAATTACCCTCCCCTTGTAGTAGAAATAGTTTGTTTAGAGCCTTATTTGCAGGTAGAGCTGGTATAAGCAGGAATTAGCATGCTAAAGAACCTGCCCCAGCACTGACTTGGGTTTATTTATCAGAATCTTTGACAATCAGGGGTTTTTTTCCTCCCTTGGTTTATTCAGCAAGATACTATCCCAGATTAAGAGCTTTAAGGTTATTAAAGAGATTGAAGATGGGAGCCAACTGGCTCTTGTTCGAGGGAGGCGCATGTCGTGGTGTGTAGGATCTCCCAACAATTTCATGCCTGGCAGGTCTGCACCTTGGCTGCCAGAATAAACTTGGGCGGATGATCCTTACAGCTTTCTGGGGATTGATTAAAACTCCTTTTGGCTTTCAGCACGTTGTCCACATCAAAAAGGTGCAAGAAGTAAAATAAATGTGTCTTTTGCTTTTCAAGATACTGTGGCCAATCTCCCTAAGCCTTCCTAATTGGCGTAGGCTGGTTGTGGATGATTAACTTGAAGTTAAATGAAGCCTGCTTTTAAACATGCTTTCCCAGACTTTAAACGGGAACGGTGGGGGGAAACTTTAGACTGTTGCAATGCTGGACTGGATCCAAGCTGCGTTATTATTAAAGTGGATCCAAGTTTTGATCCAGGTTTTGTTTACACTGAGCCAACTAAGTTGATGGACATCCCTCCCTCTATACCTGAATGTATACTATTAGTAATATTAACAGTATACCACTTCTGCCCCATGAAAGAGAGCTTTTTAATGAAGGGGGAAGAATATTAGCAGCTCAGGTTGAGCTAAGAGTTGCTTGCATTTGGAGTTTACTGATTTCAGTAAGTTATTTTAATCATGTCAAAATATTTCAGAGTATGAAAAAAATGCAGAGGAAAAAATGTGCACAGTATTTAATGACAACATTGCAAAGCAAATAAAAGTAATGTGCCCTGAGGGCAAAGGCAGTGAGAAGATTTGCTCTGAGGAAAAGCATGCTCTAAAAATAAATCTTTGAAGAAACCATGTCAGTCTGTGAATGTTTTGTTAGTGAGTTTCATAATTTTTCTGTGAAGTGAATACAGGGCAGACATTTGATTCTTAAAAAGTGGGAGTTTTTCATACAGAACTTGGTAAAACCCTAGTCTTGTCTTTCTATGTGAAGATTAAAGGTAAATTGTTAAACAGGCTTCTGTTGCACACAGAGTCCATAATTCTTGTCTCTGGTGAATACAAAAGATTCACCTTCTCTGTGTCCTCAAGGTAGAGTGTATGGGCTTTGCAGGTAATTTTGAGAGGAGAATCCAGCCCAGCATCACTTTGTTCTGTGGCTGATAACCCCATTCAGTGTGGGCAAACAGCAGAGCAGCTACAATGGCAGCACTTTTTGAGTCCCTTTATGGCATTTTTCTTAGTGTCTCTTAGAAAGGCATACAAGAACCAGTGACTGGCAGCATAAATCAGAGAAAACCCACTGAGTGAGAAGGCAAAGGGTCTGAACAGCAGGAGTCATTAACCTCCAAAGGGAGCGTCAGGGGAAGTGGTCAGTTCTCAGTCTGAAAACATCAAGAAATAAGCTGAGAAAGTGTGGTGGGAACCAGCAGGGGCTGGAGCAGAGCATGTTGTGCTGAGTCTGTGACACACAAAAAGTCTGACTGTAAGACCTAATGACCTTTTTAGATAAACCTTTATTTTCTCATAGGCGTTCTCTGACTGCAAACTGCACTTATTAGCATCTCCTGAGAACTGGCTTACAGGACCTGTCACACATCCTGCTTGCCTCATGGGAAGGCAACTTTGCAGTTTTTCTGACACCTTGCAGCTCTTTTGTCTTTGATAGCCAGCATCTAACTTGGATAAGCACTATATTTTAACTGATATCATAGTACAAGCTAAGCTTACAGATGTGTCCAGGCATATAATTAGATTTAGTTAAATTATGTGGATATTAACATGTGCTCTGGGAAATGTCTGGCACTGAGCCGTGAGCAGGTAGACCTGTGCACAAGAGAAGTACAGTAATAAAAGCACTCAAGGAGGGTTCGTGGATGAACCTCAAGCTGTTTCACCAGGTCTCCACCCTTGCTTCAAAGAGAAGAGGCTTAGGCTCATTCATGAACTATTTCTTTCTCAAGCTTGAAACATTTTACCCATTTTCCCAAGCCACCTCTTGTTTGTGCCTTCCTCCTGGTCTCAGTGCTGGTTTGTTCAGGCTCTGGTGTCCTCTAGATCTCCATATTGAGGAAAGGCAGATTGAAAGCCCCTTTTGCTGTTGGAGCATGGATATTGTTTGATATTTTATTTTGGTTGACTTTCCCTAGTGGACTTTTTGCTCTTTTTTTTTGATTGCTTGCTAGTACCCCAAAACTTTCCTTGCCTGTTTACCACCCTCTTAGATTGGAAACCAGCTGTATTGCTGGTAGCTTTGTTGGCTGTTTATGCCACGAATTTAACAGTAGGAGATGAAATTTATTGAAATAAACTGTATTCTAGATAACTTGTACTTGAAAATTCATATGTAAATCATACTGTTACTGTTCCACAAAAGACTTAGTGTTATGACCCTACTCTCTTTGTTTGCCTCTTTCCCTTGATATATGTTGCATTATAAATTAAAGTGTCTCTGTAGGTGTATGGACTGGGCACTGTTTTCCCTGAAGTATTTATTTTAAGTGGGAATGGGAGAGGACAGACCTGTCCTGTGGCTCAATCTCCTTCAAACACATCCTAAATTCCCACTACAGGTTCATGACTACAATGTCAACTGTTTAAAGTGTATCAGAGTTTACTCAAACACCTGACATTTTCTCCTTTACCAGCACATAACTACAGTACCATGGAGTGAGGGAGCATAAGTAGACAAGATACATATAGTGACAGAAATTACTGAACCAAGAAACAACACACAGACACTCCTCTGTGGGGTGAAATACATGGATCTCTCAAAATTTTGAGAGGAGAAATTGCTCTTTCTATAAGCCCTTTGCAGCAAAAAACCCCCATAAAAACAACAAACAACAACAAACCAAAAAAACCCGATATTGCTCTGTTCTCTGATGCTCCTAGTTCATGGTGTTAAATTTGCTCATTTTCAAAACTTCTTCTGTTTTTCAACACAGGGTGCTAAGGCATGTTTTTTGCGTGATATCCCCTTCTCTGCCATTTACTTCCCTTGTTATGCTCATTTGAAAGCTTCATTTGCAAGTGAAGATGGGAGGGTTAGCCCTGGAAATCTGCTCTTGGCTGGATCAATAGCTGGTAAGTGCCCAGATTTCGTTTTGCATGGCACTGTATTGCACAGGCAGCACAATAGTTATGGCAGTGAGAACAACAACAAAAGATGCTCTAAAGGACTATATACAACAGTACTGTATTTGCAGCCTTATGCAGAAACAACAAAGTTACCGTGCTGTAGAGTGAGTTGATGTTAATGATACTACAAGTTCCTGTTTTAGTCATAATGTTCAGGAAGTGAAAGAAAGGGAAAATAAAGTGCTGATCTTTTGTTACCATATATCATCATTCCTTGTGAAGTTACTGTGCTGGTTTTGGCTGTGTCTAACTGACTGGTAATGTTTTGTTGAAATGATTTATAAAGAAAATCATGGCATTCATGAAATTCTTTATGATAAAATGAATCTTGAATTTTGGTATGTAGAGTCCAGAAGCCACACTAGCAGTACAACTCTCCAAACACAATGACTAACAGGTGACAAAGTGATGACAGTGCTTGCTACCCTCAGTGTCCCATGAAGTTACTTGGCTCTTGAGGATTTTACATTTATCATTTTTTTTATATCAAAAGAGAAACAAAACAGAAAAGCTTGAAAACATTTCTGGTGTTCAGGTTGCTAATTCCTAGTGTACCAGATATGACAGAGGTGCTGAGTGTGATCTTGAGCACTTGTTTGTTTTAGTCTGCTGCATAACAGACAGAAAAGCCAAATCATGCTTAAATTCTCACAGATGCATTTAACTTGAGCATGCCAGAGCCTAAGGGAAAAGACAGAGACACACTTTGTAAGCCCCATCTTGCCTTTGCATCTGCTGCAAAGCTGGTTCCACCACAGCACCCAACTTCTACATCCAAGGGGGACCACCATTTGGTAGCTGCCCCCTGGAGAGGGCAGCTTGAGAGACATCCTCCTGCTGTGTCCATGGTTTTTCTCCCAGGAAACAAATGGTCTTGCAAACTTGTGCAACAGGACCTCTGGGTGGGTGTGTAGCAAGCAGGAGGGCTCACATCAGGAGGTATTTCCACCATGTTCATTGGAGGCTGGTTGGTCTGTCTGAGCTGCAGCCAAGTTCTTCCTCCAGTGTGGCCCCTTGCAGGCTACTGCAACCTGCCACATGAGAAAAATGATGGAGTGCCATGAATCCAGTACAGAAGGGTGGTTTAGCAATGTTTTCTCATTTGATTTTGAGCTTTCTTCTCCCTGAGAAAACTTCTTGTCAAGATTATATGTACCTTGAGGAGGAGGGTCCTTTTGTAGCCAATATCTGGTCTTAGATGATAGCTAAGATCAGTTGATTCGTCTTGTTGAAGCATGTAGCTCTCTATTCAGTAGCTCATAGTCCAGAGGAACAACCTGGCACTAACAAAACCAGATGTGTTCCAATGACTGCTGCTTAAACCCCCGTGTCCTCTCCCCTCCCCCACCCCATTCCTAGGCCAGGCTCCAAACCCCGCAGCCAGCTTATTTCTCACCCGTTTTAATGGAACAGAACAATTTTTGAACTTTAGATCATATTTACAGACTTGAAACATAAGCTGGCATTTTTAAGCCTAGTCATTTCTTAGATTTTCCTATTTTTCTCATTCTAGCCATTGTCAGGTGATTGCAGACTGAGATAACCGTCCCTTTGAAGTTCGGGCACAGAAGCAGTCTTTATTGTTGCCGATATGGCTCACCAATCTAGCTATAATGTGAATTTTATCCAGTGCTTCCTGTGAATCCCATCCTAGGTTAAATCTCATGAGCAAATTATAGTGTTAGAGATACAATGTTCATTGTACTGTTTACAAAAACAAGAAATTTATTTTACTGGGTACAAGTAAAGCCTTGCAGGGGTGCGCGTGTCCACTGTTTTGCCACAAGAAAGTCAAGGGGAAGACAAAACTAAAACCCCACCACCTCTGAAACTCTGGCTTCGGTCTCTGGGCTGATGTCTCTGCTGTGGCCAGGGATCTCACCTGGTCATTGGACTTCAGATGTGTGCATGAGCTCTGGCTGCAGATTTGAAACTCCCCATTTCCACAGCCCGTGGTGCTGGATTATTCAAGCTGGCCATGCTCATATGTGCACCTGTGTCCTTTGCCAGTGGGTGTTGCTTGTACTGCTTACATTGTCTTCCTTTTCATTGTTGTGGGGTCACAGGCAACATGCATGTCTTCTAGCTTGATCTGCTTCTGGTTTTTGCTGTTCACCAGACATTTCAACCTGTTGTGCCATGGTATTTTCTAATGATTTTAATATCATCTACAGGATCTCTCCTTAATTTGCTCCATCTGCTTATTGCCTCCATGAACTTCCTTCTCCTCCTTTCACTCCTCTTTTTTCTTGTCGGCTCCTGCTGTGCTATTTGTCACATTCTGATTGTAAGATCCTCGTGGCAACAGTCTGTAAATTCGATTTGTCTATAAAGTCTTTTGTCCTGTACATGTAGCTCCTAAAAAGGATTTAAAACATCTTTAACTGAAAAATATCCTCAGTAATATAGAGTGTGGAATAAGAAGATGGAAGTCAATGTGTAGTAAGCAGAATTGTTTCTAAGTATGACCTTCAGTTTTCCTTGAAAACACTGGCTGGCTTTTGAAGGACAAAAGTCCGTCTTTAAATTGAAGACTCAAGCAATATCCTCATGTGGGTAAGGCTAAGCAAAGAGGAATTTCAGTGTTTCTGGAGTTCAGAAACCCTGACCAGGTTTTAGCACTTGCCTGCCAGACAGCTTCACTGTGCAAGTTCAGCGTATGCATTATTTTGGGAGGTCCAGGAGAGGAGGAGGAGCTCTTCTTTTGGTGATATGCACACATTTAGATATCTTGGAGCAGTTCTGGAGGAAGGGTGCTCTGGAATTTGAAGCCAAACCATGCTGGTTTGGACAAAAGTTGTTACAGAATTATTAAGCCTGAAAAAAAAAAAATAAGGAAAGGAGATTTATACATCTAGCCAAGTTGGTTTGGAACAGATGCAGAATGGAAAAGTAATAAAACCATAAGAGACAGTGTCTTCTGGGTACAGTCCCGGTGCTTTTCTTTGGTTTTGTTTTTTTTTTTCAATTCCAAACATGGGCAGCCCCAGTTTGGATAGGAATGATTTTAGAAATACCACCCATTGATAATTTGGTACTTTTTGCTTTCAGTTGATTATCTGCCAGGGTAAATTTAAATCTTTCTCCAAATATTCTGATGAGGATGTCAGCTGTGGCTTTGCAGCTGAGCTGTCTGCCATTCCTGATGAGAAGAATGACCCTTTTTGTAAGCCTTACCTCCCATGCCTTGCTGAGCATGCATGGCATTATCTGTTTTGCGGTGACTTTGCTGCATGAGGCGTGTTTGTGTGTGTGTGTGTGTGTGTGTGTGTGTGTATCTGTGTACAGGCTGTTCTAGCACAGTGTACAACCAGGATGCCAGGTACCACAGAGAGGCATGAAAAGGAAAGGGTAAACCTTACCTCCAAAAACTTTGTTCTTACTAACTGTGCCAGTTTCTGTTTAGCACTGAAAACTCTAGTCCATGCCTCCCAGCTTGGCAGGAAGCATGTGATATTGTTGTTTCTCAGGGAGAAGCTCTCTCTGGGTGAAGCCATGTCCACAACAACCACCTCTTTTTGCTTCCCAGCTTCTGCTTAAATCAAATGTGACTGGATTCTCCTGGTGTAAGGAGGAAAGGCCCGCTTACCCCTGGGTAATTGAGGTGTGTATCATGTGTGACAAGCCAGAGGTATCCACCTGATGATTTTTGTGTTGTGCAGGTATGCCTGCAGCCTCTTTGGTCACCCCTGCAGATGTGATCAAAACAAGGCTACAGGTGGCAGCCCGGGCAGGACAGACCACCTACAGCGGCGTCGTAGACTGCTTTGCCAAGATCCTGCGAGAGGAAGGTCCAAAGGCTCTGTGGAAAGGAGCAGGAGGTGTGTAAAAGAGCTTGGATTGTCAAGTGATTTCTATTTGTGACTTTTGTCACTTAGGAGCTCTTTTCTTTTCTTTCAAGCTCGTGTATTTCGATCTTCTCCTCAGTTTGGTGTAACTCTGGTGACTTACGAGCTACTGCAGAGATGGTTGTATGTGGACTTTGGAGGAGTGTAAGTATATATTGCCTGAATCTACCAGGGACCCTGAAGCTACACTTGGTTCTGTTTGGGTCTTGGTGTTCCTCAACATGTCAGGGTCTTGCTAGGACATGTTGCAAAGGCTTTGTAGATATTACTTAAACCACACTACACTGGTGGAGGTTGGGATGATATTCCAGTACCTGTTTCATAGCAAGGTATTACCACATTTTTTATCACCATTTCAAGTTGAGGACCTATGTTAGTGTAAACAGAGACAGTGAGAGGCCAGATAATGGGCTGAGGATATAACTGCAGGGGAAATGTGATACCTGCCAAGTCAGGATACGCTCTGCATTAATCCTCATTATTTGGTGGAGGAGCTGTACCTGATCAGCTGTACCTGATTAGACAGGGCATTTGACATCCAAAAAAGTCTATAGTTGTCACCAAGTTCAAAACCTGTTGTTGGGGCTTCAGGTCTGCCTCCTGCCTTTGTTAACAATACAGGTGGATGTGCATATTGCTTTTTAACTTGGTCCCAGGAGCAGCTGCAGACTGTTTATGGATCTTCGGGGACAGCAGTTTGAAAACCACAACAAAAATTACTTAAATACTGCTAGGTTCCTGGATTGGTTGTGCACTGAAGCAAAGACTTATGAACCCCTGCTGCTCCACACTGCAGTCTCTATTAATGCACTGCAAATTTTATCTGGATTTGGCCATCATCATCATGAAGGCTCCTAACTGTTCTGGAAGGTTTTAAAACAGGGTATGTCTCCTTACATTGCATCATTTAATTTAGTTACTTATGGGGAAGTACACTCAGATGTCTTATTAAACTTACTTTATGGAGGAGATTTTTGTGAATACTGATTTTACTCTATGGCAATTAATCTATTATTTTTATTATTTTGCAGAAAACCAGCTGGATCAGATACAGTTCCTAAATCTAGGATCACGCTCCCTGCTCCTAACCCTGACCATGTTGGCGGTTATAAATTGGCAGTTGCCACTTTTGCAGGGATTGAAAACAAGTTTGGACTTTACCTACCTCGGTTTAAGCCATCACCACCTACCTCAAAGGCTGCTGCAGCAGTAGGACCCTAAATTTATCGCTGTAGGGTTTTTGTTATTAGTTGGGAAAGAGCCACTTTTCTAATTGGTTAATACTTTGTTCCTTTAGCTTCTCATCATATAAAAGTTTAGCTTCATTTGAGTTTTAAGGTAATTTTCATCTTAAACGTAATCATTTGTCTTTGTGCTTCCGTAACCAGATCACTGTGAAATTCTTACCAGTTGTTTTAAGTTTGGGACCATGAATGTATTTGTCCACATCTGACATGTGCTTGTGTTGGGAAGACACTAATTTTAGGTTCCGTTTATTAGGGAGGGCTGGGTGAGAGCTGTGAACCAGATCATTTTACAGGCAGTGCGCAGTTGCAGATTACCAGGGCAGATGTCGCACATCGTCACTCGAATGGAAAAACTCAGTGGATATCACGGTGCTCAAAGCAGAATGATTTTGACTGTATGTGTAAATTGGTTATAAACTTGGTGCGTGTCTGCAGAGGTCAGCAAATATATACCCGGTACCTAAGTATGCCAGTACAGCTTCAACTTTTTAAATCTGTACACGCACAACTTCTGTTTCTGGATCGTATTATGAAGCTTTTATGTGGAACATGTTTTTGTAATGAAAACCACATTTATAAATGTTTAGCCGTTGTATTATGTTACTGGTATCAAAATGCTCAAAAGAAAGTGTTATTGTCCATAGTCTTTGCACTTTATGGCAGAACTTTTGGCATTCTACTACACATACAAGGAAATTTCATAACTAGGTGCCTATCTTGGGTTGCTGGTGTTTGGAATTCAGTTTGTATATGCACTTCTATAGTAAAACGCTGCTTGTTTAAATAACTGCAATAGAAAATTCATGCACTGTATCAATGGTACCTGCCTTAATTGCTGGCTTGTAATTGGCAAATAGGTGGTTTCAGATTCTTATTTACTTCATCAAGTCAAAAGAGATTAAAATAATCTAAAATAAAAGATTTTACTTAATTTTTGGTGCCTTGCACAGTGTTTAGAAAATTCTGTATTTATGAAGATAGAAATAAACCTTTCAAACAGATGCACACATGGTATTCTGTTACGGAAATAGTGCAGTACATCAAATGTCTTGTTCAACTTCAGTTACAAAGTCAGGTTAAGATAAAGTTAATATTTGCACTTGTAGGCTACAAAAACACCTGCAGCTTGAGAACAAATTACCTCAATTCCCCTGCATAAAAAAGACATCTATTGATGGAGATGTCACTCAAAAAAAAAAAAAAAAAAGAAAATTTTCCTCAGTCAAAAGCCAGGATTGGAGTAAGCTTTGATATTTTGACCTTTACTTTTGGGTGGAGGTTAACAGTTTTGAACAGCTTAATTACCTAGTCACTTGAAGGTCCTGTTGGATATCTTCTATAACATCTCCTAAGATCAGGAGGAATTTGGTCTTGCTTGTCTCCTTTGGGTGGTTGCCTTCAACCTTGGCTGTAAACTGAGGGAATGCACAGATGCAGCATCTTTGGAGAAGAATGAGTTTGGTGTGCAATATCATATTGTTGTGCTGTAACTTGTGGAAATCCTGAAATGGAAATCCCTCTGGTTTTGCATTTGTGTTTGGGTCATCATAAAAATTATTCTCTTGGATTAATTTGTATTTTGAAGTTACCAGTGAAATTGAGGCGGGGCAGGAATAGCGTCTGCAGTACTCAGGCATGTTAAGACGTGGGGAGCAGATGACATTTATCTGAAGCTGCATCTTGGAGTCTGGCTAAACCAGTGTGCAGAGACTGCACTGGGCTATGACAGCTCCTTCATTTCAGAAATGGAAGGAAAAAAACCTGTCCCTTTTATTACTTCAAAATTAACTGTCAGGATTTTTGGTTAAGGCTTGTCATAAGAGTTAAACATTCTCTCTGGGAGCTGCCTGTGCTTGACACCTGAGATTTCAGGCTGCATAAGAGCTGGTTTTACACTTCATCCCTCGCATTTGCCTGACATACCTTGTAAAGGGTTTCTGTGGAAAGTCAGCAGCTCAGGGGCGATGTCTGAGCACTGAACTGCACCTTCTTCCCGGTCCAGGAGAGGAAGTGCCTGGCCATGTGCATGGGCTTGGCCGGCAGCTGTTCCCTCCTGGCTCAGCCTGGAGAGGGACACCCAGGCTGTACGCTCCAGAGCATGTCCCTCTGCTGCCTGACACCAAACCCCAGTGCTGGGGCTTTGCAGCCAGGAACAGAAGAGGAATTAGAACTGGGTTATTGTCGGGCTTGCACAACTTCTTGGCTTGTGTGGTAAAGACTATTGCTTGTGTTCCACAAAACAAAGCATAACTCAGACCGATTTCCCTGCTTCCTGGTGCCCTCTCGTTCCCAGGCCTGGCAGTATATTTATGACTTGTTCTTTATTCCAGGGATGAAGGAGAAAGCTCTCATCCCAGGGACAAAGGTCAGGCACAGCTCTCCTATGGCAGATCCATCTCAGAAGGCCACAGCCTTCATCTTCTCCCTGGCAGGCACATCAGCAGGGCTGACTGACACTGCCACCCATGGTGGCCCTTCCCTTCCCCATTAACTTTTCTGGAGGATAGTTTTCTCCTTCCACCCATCTTTTCAGAGCCAGTAGACAGTGGAGGCAGGGGCAGAAGGGTTGAAGAGCCAGTGGCTGCTTGGTTAACAGGCAACCCAGTTCAAAACATTTCAAAGATCTTGGGGAAGATCTGTGCCCGCAGTCGGTTTCCTCTAGACACAAAAGGATGCATTCCTGCTCTGAAAAGTTTACAGGCCAAGAAATTGTCAGATTGCCTTGCAAACAAACAAAAGGCCCTGAGGACAATGTTTGTCCTCTCTGGGTTTCTGAGTGAATTATGCAAATGGATAAAATGTAACCTCACTTGCTTCCTGCAGCCCAGCTAACTCCCTGTGACAGCACTTCTAGAAAAAAATGAAATGACCAAATACTGGTGATGTTACCCATCAGGGGTGTCTCTGGAGCAGTTACCTCATATTTGTGTTTCTCAGTCCAGTGGAAGCCGAGAGATGCTTTTCTGCCTAGTCACCAGGGAATTGGTTGGGTTTAAGGTGACTTAATATTGACAGTTTGCAGGGACACTTGTGTGAGCAAACATACCACAGGCTTCAAAAATAACTTGAGCAGGTTTTTCTAAACCTGCTAAAAATATAAAACCTGACAAACTGCTCTGCATCTTCTTAGGAGGGGACAGTCTGCATGATGTGCATACATGTCACGCTGCCTACTGCTGAGCTCCTCAGCTCTCCAATGCACACGTGGCAGAGGGACTGTTGGGAATCCTACAGCTTTTTAAACACTGCTGTGAAATTCAGACTTTGTTTTCAGTTTAAATACTTGCCATTTTTGCATAAGCTAGAAGGCGATTTCTAGAGATGGTGATCATTTGTAAGTTATTTAATGGTTGGGAATATAGAAGTCTCAAGACATTTGTATTTTAAGTGTCTCCAGAGAGCTTCAAACACAGCAAATAACACAGAAGCAGCCTGGCATGAAGCAGCTTCTTTAATGCCACCTGCCACTGGATAATTCATGCTGTGAACTCGGGCAGCCTCTCCCAGTGCTGAACGTCATCGAGGTGTCTGTTGCCCCTCAGAGACATGACATTTTAAGAAGCATATTTATCATTTTAACTGCTACTTGCACTGTTCCTCATTGCAGCAGGAAGCAGTACCATTGCTTGCAAGATTCATTCCAGCTGCTGTAGTTACACTGCAAAGGGTTGCCTGGCCTCTCTCTGTGCTTACTCACACCCCAGGCTGTGCAGACACTGTGTACCAGACATGGTGGTGCTACTACAGAAGTAGCTTTGCTCGTGACTTTGAAGGAGAACCAGTTCTGTGAGCTTCTCAAGGACAGGTGGCTACTTTTTAGCACCATTAGGTGCTGAGTCCTTCCTTAAGACTGATGCTGCCCTGATGATAGCAGAGTCTCCTTTGTCACTGGTCAGTGGAGACCATCCCACTCTACATGGGATGCCGTTTTGCTCTGTGAGCTCATCTTCTTTCTATGTTACCATGGGGGCTCTTGAACAGAGTACATGTCATAAAGGTGAAGTACCCTGCTTCCCCTTTTAGCAAATGCCTTCAGCTCCCACCCCCAGGGCCACCTGTCATGTCTCGCTATGTCCTTTTGCAGCTTCTTTCAGAACAAATCCCAAGTCCTTGGCACCAAAATCAAGGTCTTCCCTTCATCAAGTTCAAGACGTGTCCCTTCCACATCCACCTCGCAGTCCTCTCCTCCATCCTAAACCTCAATTCAGCCTTTTCCTGCCACTTACCTGCTTTTGTCCTAGTTGGGTTTGCTTTTTCTGACCTCTGTGGTTCAGATGTGCTCTCCAGATCAGTCTGAGCACACAGTTTATGTCTTTCACAGAAAACTTACTTGCAATGGTCCTAAAACAGAGCCAGGCTGTTTTTGATTCATTCCACACCCGGAGCAGTCATGGCAGCATCCCAGCAGTGCTAGAGCATGGGACATACTCTTCATGTTCTTTCTTCTGTTCTCTGTATGTTTGTAGGCTAAAGAGCCTGGAGAAGATGATATCTCTTTGCTCAAAATAAATGATAATTTTGTATTTATTTCCCTACTGGGCAGATTCTGAGGAACATTTTGTCATACAGGCTCTTTTTGGAAAGCCAGTAAAGTGGAGCTATTTGTTTAGCAGCAGGAAAATCAAACAAACAAGAACTGTGGGAGATTCCTGGAAGGGCAGCAACAAGGGCGGGTCAGAAACTCCACCACACAACATCACGAGCAACAGAAGGGGAGTAAATGCCTATTCTTCTTGGGTGCTCTTCCATCTACTTTTAGCTGTGTGAAATAGCCCTTTCATGTTGTTGCTCTGTATTTACAAACCTGGTCATTTCTGTAGAAATCTGCATCTTTTCCTTGTTCCCTCTATGTGCTGCTAAACCTCACAACAAAAAAAAAAAAGGAAAAATTTTAAAAAAGGAGTTGGTTATATTGATTTGCACACAGCAGCAAATGCTGAAGGTCTTCTGAGGCTACCCTTAAAACCATTTTACAAGCTGTTAATGCCATAAAGTAAGGAAGCTTGGACATGAACGTGCAGCCCCCCGAACAGTAATATGGAAAAAGAAGAAGCCTATCTGCCAGCCATTCCCACTGCACTGGTTACGATGAACAGGAGATGACATCGGTTAAACACCCTTCCTGTTACACCACAGTGTAACAGGAGGGTGTCCCACACTTTGAGGTGTGGATTTACTTAGCAGGTGGAAGGGTAGCAAGCACCCACCTCTGCTTCCCATGACAGCAGTACTTTGCTGTGTATCTGCCTGAGCACGTGTTCCTAATCTTGTGACCCAAGTGTGGGCCAACTGTGCCTCCCCCACTTCCACTTTGTACCACAACTACTTTACCCACATATACAGATAACACTTGCATATGGTTATTGAAAGGAAAACAGGGCAAAACTGGGGAAAAACCCCAGAGGTGATGTCTAAACTGCTGCTTTACAGTTATCTCACCTGGCTGTTAGCATTCATCTTTAGGCTACAGAAGTGCTGCAAGTGCTACATTGGTCCTTCAGGACAGCTCCCAAAGCACCCAGGGGAGCAGCAGGAACACAGAGCTTTTTAATACATGGCTACAACCTCAGGGAGCTACAGGACCAGTGGCTGATGTATCTCTGCTGTGTGTAGTCAGTCATCACACTCCTCTCAGCCCAGTGGCAGAACACTTCCATGGGCACTGGCAGATAGTTTCACTTCTCACCGTGAAGAAGAAAGTAGCACTTTCTTCTTCATGCACTCTCACTGGGAGTTATTTCTAACCACCAAGAGGATAAGGGAAATGTAGCTTTTCCAAAGGATTCATTTTCTTAGCCTAGTCTTAGACTATAGCCTCAAAGATGATTAGATGATATATTCCTCAACATGATTACGCAAAGACAAGACATGGCTCCCTACAAGCAACATACAAGATCTTTCTTGTCTGACTCACAGCATTTCTTGCTGTAATGGCTCACCCTATGGCTCTGAGTGTGAACCGCTGCTAAATGCAGGCATCAGAGCTGTGCTCTGGCCCAGCAGTTTTGTGACATGAATGTATCGAGCAGCCTCACCACCAAGTCTCGTCCCTCTGGACCACAGCACTCAATGAAATCAGTCTGCACTCTGTTTCTTTTCTCAGGCCACAAGAGATTATCATAAAGGAGCCTATTCCCTTGTCCCCTGTCCCAACCTGTCTCTCAAGATAGTCTGAGGAGGCCTTGTCTTTCCTATTCCTTTTCTCTTAGCACATATGGCAGCACAGTGCTTCTCTGTGTGTGCACATGTGTGCAAGTGAGCACGCTAAGGACGGAGGAAAAATAAAAATTAGCCTAGAAGCTGACACTCCTTAGTGCCTGCTCATGTAAAATCTGTAACAGGATCTGATGCGCTCAAGTCCATTACTGGCCAGTCCCGTACCAAAGGTATCTATTTACATGGCAGCTGCAGGAGCATTCTGAGAGTCAGGGCAGTCACATTTTCCCAGTGCTTCACCAGTGACTGGTAATGAACACACTGAGCACTGCTGGCAAGGAAAGATTAACCACACTGCAACAGAACAGGCCTGATACATTTTATTGGCAAATACTAGTGTCATACTCAGGAACCACAACCCTTAGTCAGACTGTTAGTGTTAACTTGCATGACAAGTATCAGTGACCAACTCTTTCTGAAATATAGTTAAAGTGCCTAGAAATAATAGGCATCTTAAAAAAAAAAGGAAAGGAAACTCATTCCATCCACTCAAGCCAACCTTTATAGATCTTATATCTTAAGCACAACTGATGTACTGTAATTGTTACGTGGACTTTAATGTAACCTCTACAGCAGCACACAGACAATGCAGTTCTCTCATTATGCACATGCTTTAGGATCGTTTATTTTAATGCTTTCAAATAAATATGTTCCATGCAGCACACCGCAATAAATAAGGAGCAGCAACTTTCGTATAGTACATCCATTCATAATGTAAGTCACCATGTGAAACACCACATCTAAAGTCTTTGGCCCAGTCCCATACAGTGAAGCACACCACATCTGCACATAATCATATCTGGCTTCATATGGATTTAATAGGACTATGCCAGAAGGGCAATGTGAGCACAAGTTTAACCAGGGGTTCCTAGCTATTAAATACAGCTACTAAGTAGTTAAAAGGCAACAACTAAACCCATAAAGGGTTGATTTGTCTTTTCTTTCTTACTTTTCAGACAGAAATATAAAGTATGAAAATGCTCTGGATATTTTCAGCCTTGTGTAAAGCAGTGTGATTAATATAGAATGCTTTGAGCAATACTGGCATGTACACTGGCATCAAAAGCCACAGCAAGACAGACTCTGACACTGAACACCGGCGTACTCAGCGGGTGAAAGCTGCTGTTCTGGCGGTGGCAGGCGCTGCAGCTCCTCTTCCTCTAGGCCGACAGCTCCACTGCCCCTTCCTCTTCGCTGTCTGCTCGGTTGGCACGGATTTCCACCAAGGTCCGAGCAAAGCGGGTCCACTCGTCGTTGTGTGGAACAGCCAGCTGTGGGAGAAACCAACAGGGAATTAAGAGACTGGAGGGGGAACTGGTTCTCTCTCTGGCCCAAAATTGAGGCACCTCCTTTGAGGAGAGCTCCTACCGCAATGAGGGTGGCTGTGCATGGTGAAGGACCAAGGCATAGGCCTCACCAACCTGCCGTGGGCTGGTTATCTGTGAAGCATGGCCAAGTTCACAGGGCACACCTGGCAGTTTCCTATTCAGTACCAGCTAGAAGGAGCTTTTAGTAAGTGGCAGAGAAAAAAAGCTTTATCTGCCTGATTTTAAGGAAAACTTTCTTGCTGGAGTGTTGCTGCAAAACCTACCCCTTGGTTAAAATATTTCAAATTTTCCAAACTAGAGCGAGGCCTTGATCTCTACAAGTATGCACACGCATGTTTCACTTTACAGACGAGCTGGCCATTGGCAGTCAGCGAGGTTGTGCCCAAGTGTAATTGTTTGCAGGACTGAGGTCAGTGTGCACAAGGTAACAGAGCTTTTACAACACTGTACTGAAACTATTTTCCTGAAGTTCATTAAAGCTTTTATAGTAGTAAAATAAATATATTGTGTTATTTTAGTTACCCTCCTCTATGTTAAAGAATTCAGAGTTACATTAAATTTATTAAAATGGAAATGTTATACCAAGTGGATACTACATTACTGCTCTGATTTTTTTTATAACATCATGCTAGATCCATTTCTATTTAATACCATTGATGTTTCTAATGAAGAGCTCTTGAACATTAAGCTTCAAGAGGGACGTGTAATCTAAATAGCTGAGCTTCCAGACAAAACGCTTTAGTGCTATGGCAAAACAATACTGCAGTCACTTCCAGCTGGATTCAATACTGAATTTCTGGAAGATAATGCAAGCTGGGATTGAGATAATTAAAAAGGAAAAACAACAACAACAACAAAAACCAACAACAAAAAAACCCAAAACCAAACCAAAACAAAAAACCAAAACAAAATACCAAAACAAAACAAGCAGTTTTCTCAAACTTTGTTTTCATTAACTCAAATTCCAGAAAACAGCAACAAACGTCCAGATGAACCATACACATTTTTACTGCCCTCTTGAAGCCCTTCAGTCATGTCCTGAGTGTAATATGAAACAATAACTGTTTCAAGACATTACGCAGTGCTTGGTACTGAAGAACGTAACTGTTTGGAAACAACAGGGTTTACATAAACTGCTCTCCACCTTAGCAAATGGATACCTTTAGACTGAAGAATGAGTATGACTGTAGCTAATCCAGTTTGTACTACCCAATATTCTATCTGAACTGACAAATCTTTACAAAGACCAAACACTACCAAAAGTACCACGCTAACTACATCTATTTGGCACTAGTAGATCATAGGTGCACACGAGGCTTTAGGGTACATGGTACTGGAATACAGTCAAATTATTTTCCTCTCCTTACATCTCAACTGGATACACAGAACTGGAGACTAAGAAAAGGATCTGTTACATGACCAGCTGGGGAAAAAAGCTTGTATATTTGCCCAAGATTATGCATGTGAAAACTCCACACACACTGCTGCAGTGCAATGTTAATCTGATGGACAGGAATGCAATATTGGATTCAAACAGATCTCATGGGTGATTATCAGTTTTTCAACTATTTTGTATCTAACTTTGGCTCTACATGCAGTATTTTGGGAGAAAACACAGCATGTGTATTAAAGCTTCCCATGTATTGGGTATATATGAGTGACTGAGTGACAGTGATCAGCGACATTATGAAGGGCTGGTGTGCAAGAGTTTGGTTTTTTGCCTGTTGAAACACCGAATATAGTACAGTTCAGCATTTGTTGAGGCTATGGATTGAGAAATACAATCCATGAGAAAGCCTTAATAGGCGTCACTGCAGTCTCTGGGTTTTCCCTTCTTTGTTCCTGGGAGAAGTAAAGGAGAAAAATGCCAAAAGTGGATGACAGAGACCAGAGTTACAGGAGTAAATCATTCGAGACAGCTGTCTCTGATGCTCACACACAGAGATGTGGATCTGGTATGGCCTACACCTGAAAGACCGCTCTGTTCTTTCAAAAACCTTCAGCAGAGGAAAATGTAACACTTGAACGGAGGTCAGCGAACCAGCACACAAGTACCCATAGCACACATTTAGTCACAGCCACAGACCTATACCACCTTCTGTATAGTATTAAGGGACAGTGCAAAGATCCTTCTATCAGAGATACAACCAAAACCAGCTGTATAGCCATCTCCTTGTTACTGCTGCTCGTGTCCTAAAAGATTTTATTTCTTGTGATTGTGTACAGCACTACCATTTGTCAAACTCTTGAATGGAAACATGAAATGAGTCTCACTTATTTCAAGTAGAAAAATCTTTAAAGTAGAAAAATATCCTAGGCAAAGGACTTACTGAATTTAATAAAGCCTCATTTCTCCTTGTCTTTTAAAATCCTAAACAGTATTAAATTCTATTAAATGGCTAAAGAAGATATGTCATTCTAAAGAAAAAAATTAAATATATTTATGACATTGAGATAATTTAATTGCCTTTACTCCACAGCATGACCACAGACAAATAAAATCAAAGTCCAGGCTATTGAAACTACTTGGTATCTCAAACTTGAAGAATCTCCCCAGGAATGTATGTATTACATGTGTTACTCTTAGCTGACAGTCTTAGCAAGGTCTGGGCCATTTCTAATGGCTCAGTTCACAATGCAGTCAACAACCAAAGTGAATACCTCTAGCACAGAAGTAAAAACATTCAGTGTCCACACACAGTAACTTCTTAAAACTTAATCTTATTTTACCTTATTTAATCTTATACACTGCATCATGCTTTCAATAAGGGGCCAATCCTGCTAATAGATTGTTAGTAGAATAAACCTCTCTAATATAAATTCCTCAGCGATGTGGAAGGAAACCTTGACAATAATGAAGTCAAAGGAAAAATTATCCTTTATTTTCCATGCCCCCTTCTTTCTGCAGAGGCCCCACTACTGAACCACAACACTTAAATAGCAGAAGACCACAAATAAAAAGTATCCACAAACTCCAATTCAAATTCTTCTCTGTATTAATGCTCCCCTTCTAGTAATTTTCCATTCAGATTCCTTCATCTGGGGACACTGACACCCACAAGTGCTGGAGGCCCGGGTCTATCTGTGGAATCTCCCTCTCAGCTTCTCTGCACATGTTTTTTTGGTGGAAGAAACAAGGAAATACTTCATAGAGGAAGGCCAGAGGTTTAGAGCTATCTGGGTGTTCCTCACTCGTGTGGCCATTTTTCTGTCCACTTCCAGTTACTACAAAGCAGCATGTGTTGAGTTCCAGCAGTCGTGACATTGATACAGGGTAGAAATGTTCACCAAAGCAGAATAATTTAATATAATACCTTACATTAACATTTGGGTCAGAGGTTTATTTGAATGAATTGATGCTAAGGTATGGAGCAGAACAACAAGAATATAAATGCTATTAAGTGTTTTCCTTTGATCCCTTTGCAATGGAAGGTAAGTGCTACCCCCACCTAATTAATTGACTAAATTACTCACACTGCTTTAACTTAAGCACCATGGTACATTTAGATTGCATCAGACAGTAATTCTAATGAAGAAAACCAGTATTATCAAAAAGGAATGACTACCAGGATCTTCCTGTCTTTGCCTTGCCAATGTGTCACAATTCCTCATGATTTACACAGTGCACAGCGAAACTGTATCCCACAGTGCCACCACAGAGCCGCTGAAACTTCTGAAGCTTCTCTGTTCTTGAGGCATCATTCTAGCCTAGCGCTTTATTTACCTGTTAGCTTTCCTGCCCTAAAGCACCAACACGTGCCCTGCTCCACACTACTACTGACCAAGGAGATGGTCAGTAGTAGTGATGGATGACCTGGAGCCCTGAGGCTCGCCAGGCCACCTGGCCGCAGGTAGCAGTGTGAATGTGAACTTCACCAAAACCAGCCTCCTCCATCTTCTCACCGAGGTGTGCAAACCTTCCAATCCATACACCAGAGATTTTACAAACACAAGCCATGTTTCCTGTGTTTTCCCAGAAACTGTGCTATTAGCAGCTTTACTGAACTACACCAGAACTCAGGAAAAGGAGATGCTCTGACCAGACAAATCTCGATGCTGGCCGCTGTGTCAGCTAGTCCTGGGCTCCCTATACAAGCATCAAAGGAACAAAATAACAGTGCCTGAGGACACAAATCAGCATCAATTTCTTTTTCAGATCATTTAGCACCTTCTAGTACATTTGCTCTTTTAAGTTATGTATATTTAAAAAAAAAAAAGAAAAAAAAGAAAGAAAAATTAATTATTTTGAGACAAAACCCCAAGGCTTTGAATGTGCCTTTTAAAGGAATCTATCCAGATAGTTGAAACAAAATATTACAACATATTTCAAGATTTTTGTATATTCCCCTCCTATCCATCTTTTTTATGGCTGAGAGTGTTTCAGCTGAATTTGTCTAAATCTCTGTATGGCTTCAGTTTCCCTGAAAAACCACTTTCCAACAAATGAATTATTCATTGAGGATATTTCACTTTATTCCTGGCTCCTTGCCTTCCCTGGAGCCTGTAAATCTTTGGGATGGGTGTGGACAAACTCTTCCTGCCTTCATCCATCCATGCTCTTGCACATCACAGCTCTCCTCTGAGGGCTGAGGACTCTCCTGAGAAGAACTAAAAAATGCAATTTCAGCAGCAGCAACCTCCACTTTGGAGAACCTACTCTCCCATAGGCTCAAAGGGAGCACAGTCATCCATGTTGAACCTGTTACATTCCTTTTAATGACTGTACCTCATGGACTAATTTACTTGTCACTGAGACACTGGGTCATAACCTGCAGCGCTGATCACTGGTGAAATAATTGTGCAATCCCAATCACCAGCTTAATAGTCACTTTTTTTTTTTTGTCTTCACCTAGAGTTCAAAAGCCTCAAAGCAAAAATAGCCATGGGAAGAACCTCCTCAGCATTGTCACTGATTGAGGGGTTGTTCCAAAGTGGTGAATTTT